GAATGTGCAACTTCTGTCTGCACTTGTCCCGAAAGCTGAGCCTGTAAAAGAAAATAGGAATCATCTCATGTTGGTTGAACTTGGATGGCTGTCATAAGAGCTACCAAATTTAACTACAAACCTGAAAATTGACCATTAATAAACACATGAACAGCATGGCCGGCAGAATGCACAATAATGCTGGGCTTGTTTCCCCCTCTAAGAAAGGATTCTGATGTACTAATGTCAACACTGTATGGCATGCAAACCAGAAAACAGTGAGAATTCAACTGCTGAGAACTAAGAAGAGAATAAGAGCTAGACAATGACAGAGTTTCATTGATTTGAGATACATAAGAAAACTTCAAATCTGAAAGACAAAGAAAAGAATGTTTTCTTCAGCCTTACTAAAGAAAACCAAAAAACAAAAAACCTTGAAATTGCATTGTGTTCCTTTTTTCTCTCTCTAAAAGTATTTTCTTTCCTAGGTAATTCATATTCGAAGCACTCGCTAAAATGCGCACCGAGGGATTTCTTGCTTTACTTTTATGCAAATGACTCAAAAATACATTGAGTGATTGCTGTTAAAAAATCTAGAAGATAATCTATATATCAACTAACTCACCTGGTTATATACCATAGATAGTCACTAGTGTCTCTGGTGGCATTCAGCTGTTCTAATAGTCCAGAGGCTGTAATCTTTGAACTTTCTGTTAGTGAAGATACATCTTCATCATAGGTCTCCCATGAGAACAACTTAGAGTTGCTAGGCAACATTTGTATCTGTGTAGTTTGAAACCTCACCTTCATGAAGGCAGAACAAACCAATCAAAAACTCGTGCAAAAGGGCAAAGAAAATAACAAATACTTGATGGAACAATAATAGCTTCTTCCACCATAATTAACATGGAATAAAAGGCCCTTTAAATATTCTTACTCTTGCAGTGTTGAAAATATCTGTTTTACAATCAGGGAGGATGCTTATGGACCAAGGAGGCAAGTCATATATCCTGTTATTGAAGGTCACTCTTGCAGCAGAATTCGAATGGTAGTTTGCTAGAAAAGCTGCACATGCTCCATTTCTTGAAGAGAACACATGAGCCTGGAAGATAATTAAGACATGAATTCACCATGAAAAGTAGTTTATTTTAAAGAAGCACACAACTAGACGAGGTTAGTGCTTTACATCAGAGGCAACAGACCTGCTCATACGATCCTAATGATGTGACAGTGGGATCTGAAGATACCAAAGCATGTTCACTTTGCTTAATAGCTTTATGGAGGTCCATCAAATGACCATATTTAGGTTCCCTGATCAAACCTGAATATGGTAAAGCACTCAATTACAATTTTCTAATATAGATGAGGACAAAACAGATTATGAGACAAAGCTATCTTTTAACAGGTACTATTATTTACTTGAATAGTTAAAAGGTACTATTTCATAGGCTTGGTTGTCATTATAGCTGAATAAATTACAAATACATGTTCTTGATAGATACAAAGTGATTTCATGGTGAAAACAAAAATAATCAAAGAATATTGGGATGTTTTGAAAGCATAATTATCTGACCGTATTCATCAATTGGAGCATCATAGTCATAGCTTGTGGTAATGAATGGCCCTCCAGCTGATCGTCCAAAATTAGTTCCTCCATGATACTATCATTTGTCATAAAGCCCATGAGAATACTTGTTTTATAGTATGTTCTGTTAAATGAGAAATAAATCATTGAAGGACACCAACCATGTAATAATTGACATATGAGCCACCTTTTTGTATGAAACGAGCAACTGCAAAAGCTAGATCCTGAACGGGTCGCTGGTAAATTGGACCACCAAACTCTGTAAACCTAAAAAATAGAAAGAAGAGAGAGAAAGATCAAAAGGGTAAAGAATTCAGATAACCATACCTAAACTTTTCACTTTACAACCAACTAAAAAAAATAAGACTACATAACTAACCAGCCACTCCAAGACTCTGTCCAAAGGTTAGGCTTGTATGGTTTATTTGGAGAGAAATAATCACAATAAAAACCATTACATGCATTTATCTGTTGAGAAGAATTGAATAGACCCTTAATAAAAAATTATGATGAATTTAAAGAAAGAGGAAAAGACTATCATTGAAGTCATTCCCCACAAATAGTGTAACAACTGAAGCTCAGCTAAGAGCTTGAGGTGGCTCACCACTGGATCTGGGGCATCATCTTGCTTGCACATCACCCAGGGGACTCCTGTATTCAACCCAACAGCCATCTTTGCAGCCCAGGTTGTATATGCATAACCAGCAGGTCCCAGTTGCTTGCTTTCTGGTCCAAACTCGTTTTCAATCTAGATATTTTAAACAAAAGTAGAGACAAATTTAAGATTTTATCTCCAAGTAATAATGATTTATTAGCATGATTTTTGTGAGTTCCAGATCCACTCCATGAATTTTGTGTAGCTTGCAAATGCAAAAATCATGAAGCAAAATGTGATAGTCACAGTGTGCTCAAAGACTTATCCAATTCAGTATCCCAGGATTTAATATGTTCCCGTAATGATTGGGGTAACATAGTTCACAAGCTTTTCAAATAGAAATCCAGGATCTCAGAATTTTTTAGAAGAAAGAAGATAGAATTTTGCTGAAGTCGTGAATTATTAGTAAGCATGAATTTTTATTTCCAGATCCACTCCAAGAATTTTGATCACCCATCCAGATTTAACTTTATAAGGTGCCTATGCCCATGCAAAAAACATGTGGGAAACAATTTTTGAAGAAACACTTTCAGCTATTTTGCTCATATGCTAAAAAAGGTGAAAGGAACTGCCTACCTGAGAAAGAATGATTGGACCACCCTGAGACTGATATAACTTTTCGTTCTTCATCATCTGGACTATCTTCTGAGTGAAACCTTGCATTGCAGCCTAAAAGTAAAAAAAGTTAAAAAGAAGTATTTTTCTGGTTAAGACCATGCAAGACTTGTTGAGTAAGCAGAGAGAGTCGGAAGACAAAGACAGAACTAAAATTTTTAAAATAAGGTCTAACCTTGAAAGGGCCATTATCTGTTCTGAAGCTGATGCCAGGAACATACTTCAACCAAACAGGGAATCCTCTACACCGTTCAAAAATGTGATTTGAAATCACAATCATTATCCATATTCATACCATCAAACCAAAGAAATCTGCAAGGGAAAGTTGAAAGTGTATGTACCCAAAGTTCCACTCGGCACACACATAAGGTCCAATACGAAGATGGACATAGAGCCCCACCCTTTGCACTGTCTTAATGAACCGTACCAGATCGTACCTCCCTTCAAAATTGTACTGCAATCCAACACCATAAAAATAACACACAACCCAAAAGCAGACACTGTGAGATGGTACTTCAGAATTTAAAACTGAATTCAATCAAATGAAGATCCAGATTCCAGAGTGGTACATTGCCAGGAGATGGTTCATGAACATTCCAGAAGACATAAGTGTCTATAGCATCAAGGCCTCCATCTTTGGCCTTCCTAATTAAATCCTCCCACATCTGCAATAATCAATCAACAAACTTGAAACAAGAAACAAAAAAGTTGGAAGAAAAGGGACACATGTATGATATAAATGCATACTTCAGGGGTGCTTCTGGGGTAGTGAATGGAACCAGATATGAGGATTCTCCGTTGGCCATTGATGATAATGGCCTTCCTATCATAAGTGACACTGCAATGGATCAACTCAGAACCCACAAACAAGATGGTGAAAACAAGTACTAGAAGCTTGGAAACTGAGTTGGTTTCCATAGCTTCTTGCTTTCTTCCCTACAACTGAATGGAGGGAAAGTTTTGAAACTATATAAGACACGGACAGAGAGAAAGAAATGTGAGGTATGGGTTCTGTTGTCCGTGTCTTTGAATCTGATCTAAAACTTTGTACGTATGACCTTTGTGCCTTTGTCTGTGATTCTTTCTGCTAGCAGTGGTACCAACTGCTACTTACTGAGAGTTCCACACATGTCAGGGAATTGTGTTTTATTTTACTATTTATGTTTTGTTTTGGTATTTGGACTGTTTTGCTTTGGTCCGAGAGTTTGAGACTACAAAAGCTTACTCTTTTGCTTTTTTAATCAAAGCCTTGTTTATTGCTTCAAGCCTTCAGCTTTACAACTACGGCACTTACAGCAACCAAGCTTTAGTCAAAAAATAAGAAATTGCAAGTGTTTGTGTTTTTGCAATGAAGAAGGTCATCATTCTGTCGGGCTCCATTTCTCATCATATTACAGTTTACTTTCAGTTAAAGAGTTGCACAGTGAGGTTTCAAATTTGAAGTTAGTTTTTTTTTTTAATTTTATTATAAATTATTATTATTATTATTATTATTATTATTATTATTATTATTATTATTATTATTATTATTATTATAAATGCATATTTGATAGGAAACTATTATAGATATGTAATATTATATGAACCCTTTTAAACATCTTTCTGCTACTTCCCTTTTCCTTTCTTTAAATTCATGCAAAGCTACACTATATCTTTCTCTAGCAAAAATAATACAACATGAAAGCGACTTTTTTTCATAAATAATATTGTTTTCAAAAATATTTACCAAAATAGCACCTATGCAACTTTATTTACACAACTAGCACCGTTTACTGTTCACGTAATAAAATAATATTATTTCGCGCAACTGTTTACTGTTCACTGTATTAAAATAATATTATTTCGCGTACTGAACTCTCGCTCAAGCGAAGAAAACCTTCGCTTGAGCGAAAACCTGTAACGTCTGGGGTAAATTCTCGCTCAAGCGAAGGTTTTCTCGCTTGAGCGAAAAGTATGATCGACTATTATCCAATTATAGTCGATCACTTTGACATATATGACTTTAGATAGCGGTTATTTGGCCAACCGCTATCTAAACTACTCCATTAGAAAGCGGTTAAAGCCTAACCGCTATCTAATATATATTTTTAAAAGCGGTTGTTATCAACCGCTATCTAAGGTGACTCAAGCGAAAAACACATCGCTTGAGCGAGGACACCTGGAAAAATGGGTGTCCTCATCCTTCCAATGCCACCTATGACTATAGAAGAAGTAATTCCGCGAACAAAGAAATGGTGGCCACCTTGGGATTCAAGGAAGCAATTGAGCAGCATTTATTGTGAAACCAGTGGAGTAGCTCAAACTTGTGATAGACTTGGGAAGATTCTAGCCTGATGCAGGTGGAGTGCTTACATCTAAAGCTGCAGGAAGACATTATTCGATATTGTCGTGGGTTAAATCTTGTGTGGATTGGCAAATTCAAAGCTGGGTCTCAGTTGAGACTTCTGCGCCAAATAGAAAGATTCTTGAGAGGTGGTGGCGTCAATCTGGGCAAACTGGGACTTTGGTTCAGATTGAAGACGTTCAAAACCGACTAGTAAAAAACTTGAGGGTCTAATCAGGTAAATTTGGATGTTTTGACCTGGTCATCTATCAGAACCCATGCTCTTACTCAAGTTCTGGGCTACAAGCAGGTGTAGGTCTCTCAGCTCTTGATTTTTCAGTATTTTAATCGATACAAACTTCTTTTAATCGATTAAAACCACTTTGGAAGTCAGGATGATCGATCAGAATGAAATTATGACCGATCAGAGATTAAAACAAACTTTCAACAGATTAATTAATGCAGCAGATTTGAAAATTCTCTTTAAAAACAAACTTCTTTGTAAATTCTTTTTCATTACTTTGTATTGTGTTGTGCCTGGAATTTGGGCACAAGTTTTCTCTGCAGCTGGAAGTTGGTTGTGGAGGTTATCAAGAACTGGAAATTGGTTCTTGGTAAGAGGTTGAGCACAGGAGCTGGAATTTGGTTCTTGTGGTTATACTGTGTGGTGCCTGGAATTTGGGTATTGGGTTCTCTGCGGCTGGAATTTGGTTGCAGAGGTTTCCAAGAACTGGAATTTGGTTCTTGGTGGAGAGGTTAAGTGCAAGAACTGGAAGTTGGTTCTTGTGTTAGATTAGGTGTAAGATTGTTGAGTCTGTAAAACATCTATTCTAGTGGAACCCAGCTGGAATTTGGCTGGAGACTGGCTCAAGCGATGTGTTTTTCGATGTGTTTTTCCTCGCTCAAGATTGTTGTAAAAGATTGTTGTCCTCGCTCAAGCGATGTGTTCTTCGCTTGAGTCACTTTAGATAGCGGTTGATAACAACCGCTTTTAAAAATATATCTTAGATAGCGGTTAGGCTTTAACCGCTTTCTAATGTAGTAGTTTAGATAGCGGTTGGCCAAATAACCGCTATCTAAAGTCATATATGTCAAAGTGATCGACTATAATTGGATAATAGTCGATCATACTTTTCGCTCAAGCGAGAAAACCTTCGCTTGAGCGATAATTTACCCCATATTACCCCTTTGTTACAGGTTTCCTCGCTCAAGCGAAGGTTTTCTTCGCTTGAGCGAGAGTTCAGTACGCGAAATAATATTATTTTAATACAGTGAACAGTAAACAGTTGCACGAAATAATATTATTTTATTACGTGAACAGTAAACGGTGCTAGTTGTGTAAATAAAGTTGCAGAGGTGCTATTTTGGTAAATATTTTTGAAAACAGTATTATTTATGAAAAAAAGTCCATGAAAGCTCATAATTTTTTTTAAAGAAAGAAAACATAATATATTAATATATTAACAATTTCTCAAAATTTTTATCCTATATTATAATGCACTTAACAAATTAATATATTATATTATTTATCATGAGAGATGAATTTTTGCAGGAGTAATTTTTTTTTCAGTGCTGGATATTCCCATATTTTTTCTAGTAATAAAAAAATAAAAAGAGGGATCCATTGCTGGATAAATTCAACACATCTTATAAAAAAATGAAAAAATATATTTTTGAAAAACTAATATGAAATAGCTCTTTAACTAATTTTAGATTATTAAGAAATTAATTTATTTATTTTTCACTTAGAAATAATTACGAAAAACTCTCTCCAAATAAATTTTATATCAACCCATTGAGACCACAAACATTAAAAAGTTAGTCTTTATTTTTTTTAAATACTTTTTTTTCATTCTTCATTTATTTGTTTAATATAAATAAAATGAATCCTTAGAATCTTAGATTAAAAGAAAATATATAATTAAGATGAAAAATAACTCTAAATTAATTTTTAAAATAATTTAATATCTTCTCGTATTAATATATATATATATATATATATATATATATATATATTAATTTTTATTATTATTTTGCCTTATAGTTAAAAAATATATGAAATATATTTTAAATAGAAATTTTGAATATGTTGATGTAATATTAATAAATTGATAATTGTATAATAATGTATTCTTCATTTCTATATTTTAAACGTGCCATATGGTAATGAAATAACATAACAATTACACTTGTCAAAGTCAAGTGTCACAACATGTTATTCTTTTTGTAAATATGTAATAACATGTGAATTGTAATACATGTGAATAAAATGACATAAGGGTTATACCTATCACATTACATGCTAACGTGCCAATTGTTTTCTCCTTAAACACGCTGATAAAGTGAGACAACATGTATTCGTGTATTAAACCATGTGATAAAGCAACGGACAATTATTTTTGGACACTTAGATACGAAATAGCATGACAATTATTGTAACCTCAAATGAAGTGACACGGTGGTTACACTTCTCATGTCAAATGGTACCACACATAACATAGGTCATGTACCTTTGTTGTGCCACAATTTTGTAGCTAGCATTGGACGCATAGTTAGATTATTTTTATAGTATTTGTGCAATGTCCACTACAAAGGCCTAATAGTCGTGAAAATTAACTATAATCCCAAATTGTATTTTTTTTTCAATTTAAACTATTTTCATGAATATTTTTACTTTTTTCTTATTTTAGTTTAAAACTCAACTTTTATAAAAAAATAATTATTTGTATTAAGAATAAGAATATTTCAATTTTAAAGTTTTAATTTATTATAGTTTTATCTTTTAAAGACATAAAGATATATTTCAAAAAATTCGATAAACACTCTAAATTTATATAAGAATATTTAAAATTCATCATACATCAAGAAAAACTTTTCTCATTATTCTAGTATATTACTCTATAAAAAGTTTTATGTTTCTTTAGACATGATTTACTTATTTATTATTATTATTATTATTAAATCAATACTCTAAATATAATAACATTATTTTCATTATTTTTTTTATCTTCTTTTGTATAATAATGGATATGCTTATCCTATTCTTGAAAACTACATCATAGTGCAAATGCAAATATCTTGCAATTTTTTATATAAAAAACTAATTTATTAATTTAAATTATATATATATATATATATATATATATATATATATATATATATATATTATTTATTATTTCATCTCGAAAAGGGGTTAGCAACCCTACCACATTGTGTGCATTTGATATTACTTGTTTGCATGTGCCGTAGACCCATGCTATCTATTTAACTTGCGCGTTGTGGATCACAATAGCAATCCCCATGAGTTTAATAATACATTCTTTAAAAATATTATCTTATTAATTAAAAAATTCATTAAAAATTTAATGGCCATTTCTCGTAATTTTATATTTTTTAATAATTTTTAGTTAATAATAATAATAAAAAAAAAAGAATATGACGACAAATTTTATCTTCTATACTTGTTTGCTCTGTCGTTAGTTGGTTATGATGCCCTTGTCTCGTGGGGTTTACATTTAGAATTTGCTTCCATGTGACATGAACATGACATCTCATATTTGTGATCTCGTGACTCTGCCCTTTTTTCTTCGCCTTGTCGTCGATAAGAAAGAGGGTAATGCATACGCGGATTAACTTATAGAGATAATCATGAGGTAATGCATTGGTTAATGGGTCGAATTAATGTACCATAAATAGGTTACGAGTTCATTACATTTTAGATATGTTATTTCTTCCTAGTAGGCAAGAAATGACTAAATCTATCTGATACTGACGTTGAAAATCTAACTAATAAAAATTTAAACAAAAAATTATCAAAAAAAATTGAAAATTAATTCAAATTAAACTTTTAAATTTTTTGAATTAAAAATTTTAAAACTGATTCGTTTAATATAGTTTTGGTTAGAAATCAACTTAAATTAAATAAAAAATTGTAATATATAATACTGAAATTAAAATATAAATAATATAATAAATCAATTATTTTTTATAATTTAAGAGATATATTATTATTATTTAAATTAAATAGAAAAGTATATTAAAATAAATTAAAACTATAAATACCATAATAATAATTTTATAATATATTTTTTATTTAATAATTGTTTTATTATAATACATTTCATAATTTTATAAAATAAAAATTAAAAAAATATTAAACTAAAATGTAAAATATTAATTTAATTTGATTCAGATTTTTTTAAAATTACAATCAAACTAAATTAAATTAAATTTAAAATTTATATGGGGATTTTAATATAAAACTAAGCCATTACCACAAATACCCTCAAGATGTTAGGTTTTATAAATAATAATAATAATAATAATAATAATAATAATAATAATAATAATAATAATAATAATAATGATGATGGAGTAGTGTAGTAGTTAATGAGTCAAATTAATTACTGTATAAAGTAATTATAGGTAAAGGAGTAGTAGTGTTATAGTTAATGCTTCTAATTAATTTGGACAGATTTGATAACCTAAACGACATTATTAAAAAAATAGAGTATAAACAAAAAAAAATCCCTTTCGTAAATATTTATTTGTTTAAACTTTTAAAAATTGATTTTTTTAAGTTTTTCTTTAATTGCTATTATTAACTTATGAAAAATTGGAATAATTTCCATAATTTTTTATTTAAAATAATTGGGAAACGCATTAAATGAGTATGGCAACAAGGCGACGGTGATTTTGGGGGTATATATTATAATTAAAAATAAAAATAAAATAAAATAAAAGTGATCTCACATGCAAAGTACAATTTCATTTAAGAATTAAAGATTCTTACTGCACTAGATAAACTTATTATAGAGATTAAGTAATCTTTGATTAATGATTGAAAGTTTTGAAGATGTAGATGTATTTTTTTATTACTTCCTCTAATAATTTAATATTCCTGTAATCATAAACACATTATATCTTTTAAACAAAAGCTAAAAAGTATTATGGGATGCTGCCACAAAAAGAAAACAATAACTATATATTAAAATTATAAAATGAATATATATATATATATATATATATATTATTTAAAATAAAATATATCAATACTGTTTGTGTTTTAATAAATTACATTAATTACATTTGAAATCTTATAAAACTACACAAAATTTTTTCTAGATTTTGTAAACATTTACAGTAATATTCTTTATAGAAAAATACACGATAATATTTTTTAAACAATGATGAAGATGACTGTGACAACATTTTTCAAACAAATAAGGTGATAAACAGAAGGATAGTATAATTTTATAAAACCTTATAAATATTAAGCAATGTTTTTTAAATCGAGTAACTAAATAAATAAAAATATGATTTAAAGTTTTAACAAATTTAATAAAATATTTTTATAATATAATAAATATATAATACATTTATTAATTATTATTATATTTATAGTAAATTATAATTGATATTACAAATATTAAAATATATTAGAAAATTAATATAAGATAGATAATTATTAAAATAAGATTAAAATATAATAAAATTATTATTATTTAAAATTAATTATAATTAATATGAGATAAATATTAAAATATATTATATTTTTATAAAAAATTATATTAAAAAATTAATATTTATTTTTTTATCAAAATTGGTTATTTCTAATGATCGATCAATTTTTTTATTTTATATTAATTTTTCTATTTTTTTATTTCAGTTTAATTAAAATTTAGTTAGTAATGGATCGATTTTAAATTATTTTTCAATTAATTAAATTGGTTGGATTGGATTGTGAAGATAATAATAAATATATTAATTGAAGAATTTATATTTAAAATTAGTGAAAAGTACAAATGTGTAACTTTTAATAAATAGTTACACCAAATTCCAATATATTATAGTGATGAGTTAGGTGTTTTGTTCTTTCTTTTATGTACTCAACTCAATTCTTTTCTTTTTCGTGGTTTTTTATGTTTGTTTTTTCTTCCAATGACAATATGCTTGCGTAGTTATTAATGGTGCATTGTGATGGCACACAAATATAGAGTACATGTGCAAATGGCATCCTTCAGCACTTGTTTTATTTTCGTTTTTGGTGTCTCAGCCAAGGAAGAGACACACATTTTTTTTTTTGGTAGTAAAAAGAAACAAAACTGACGCTGTTTGGTTAACCTTTTTTATATAATTTTGGTCCAAAAGTGTGGTATGTTACTTCAATATTATTAATAGTAGCTGGCATCACGTTTTTTTCTACCTAAGGACTTGGGGTTCGAATTAGAAAAATTGAAGCTAATATATTTGATGTTTATGATTTCTTCCTTCCCATTCACTATTCCTAAATCAAACAAAAAGGTACTATATATATATCAACCACCGAATAAGTGTCGGTTGTAACTACAAAAATTCTTACCCACCAAACATATATAATGTGATATTAGTACCAAATATATTTATCTATTATTAGAAGTTTGTTCTTTTATGTTTTCATGCATACAAAAAAATTGTTAAAAATATAAATGGATCATGTATAAGACAAAAAAAAAACATTTGAAAAAATTAAAAATCATAAAATCTTTAAATAAATGTTTAATACATGGATAGATTAATTTTATTGCTTAATTTACCCAAATAAAAGAAAAATTATTCATACCCATGAAGACAATTTCCGCTTGTACGTCCCTTTCAAGTCTTAAAAGCAATTAAAGAAACACCCAAAATTAAATTGTAATTTTTATATTATTATATTTTGAAAAATCTTAATGAAGATATAAAGTTATTTTTTTTCTTTCCAAATCGTATTGTAATGGTAAACTACAAAATGCAGCAGCAGCAACAACTTATGACGTTTCATTTCCTTCAATGTCGGTGCGACCCATTTAATGCCGACACGGTATGAGAAGGAAAACAAAGGTAAATGTGTAATTATCTTAAAAATAAAATACTCTTCCGTTTAAAAAATGCAAGACCTTTTTATTTTGAAATATTTAATATTTATAAAATTTAATTATTTTTTTATCAATATAATTTTGTCTTTTAGTTATATTTGTTATAAAAAAATAAAAATTAATTTGATTAAGGAAATATTAAAATGATAAAGATATTAATAAAAAAATTAATAAATTTATTGAAAATAGTAAAATTAATACTTATTTGTTGTATAATCTTAAATATCACATTTTAAAATGGAAATAATATTTTTATAATAAAAAAGGTCCGCATTTTTGTCATGTTTGTTATTTTAATTTATTAAAATTATATATATTTATATTAATATTAATTTAAATATGAATATTTATTTTTAAAATTATGAATTAATATAAGATAAAATTAAAAAAAACTTAAAAGAACGTATGTAATAAAAGAGTAAAGAAAAATTGATATTTTTATTATTTTAAAAAATATAATATAAATATAAATTATTTTTTCTCTTTTTCATAAAAAAATCTTTACTAGTATTATTAGAATTTAGTTTCTTGAGACATAAAATCATTGAATAATTTCTTTTTTTTAAATAAAATATCTTTGCAATCATGAAGTGACATAAAAATTATTAGAATAACTTTCATTCTGTTATAAGATTTTTTTCATTCACGCAACTTAAAAAAAAAACTAACTATGTCAATGAATAATTTGTTGGTAGTGGATGTATATAATTATGCTTCTTTATGCATGAACGGGTGGCAAATTGGTGACCCCGTGGATAAACGAGGACCATAGTAATCATTAGCTTTTCCACTCGGATTAATTAATCCACTAATTTGGAAAACGATTGATATAACTTCTTCCATAATATTGTTTCAGAATTTCTATCATTGGTTTTGTTTTAATAAAAAATATCAATTTGGTGAATTATACTTTTAAATTATAAAATTTTGAAAAATCAATTAATGAAAAAAAAAACTATCTACAAACGGATTTTGCAAAAGGGATTTAAATACCTGAATAAACTATTTATTTTGTATTTTTTAAAGTCTCTAAAATATTTTTAGATTTTTATTTTTTAATAATTTTTTATTATAACAATTAGTATAATGATATTTATTTGAGCTAACGCGAAGAAATTTAAATCAAAATTATTGATTTACTTTAATTTTTTAAGAAAAATATTAGATACTAAAAATGAAAATTGATTATACTCTAAAATTTATATAAGTCTATAATTTATATATTGTTTGTTCGCCATCAATATTTTTTATTTTAAAAATTATAAATACAACCTCTAGAAAAAAATTAAAGTAGAAACATAATTAATCTCATTTAGTTAGTATATATTTTTATATTATTTTTAATATAAAATTCTCTCTCTCTCTCTCTCTCTCTCTCTCTCTCTCTATATATATATATATATATATATATATATATATATATTATCAAATAACTTTTGAAAAATTCGACACTAAATTTAAATTTAAATATTCATTTGTCACATTGTGACTTTTTAAATGCTCAATACAAGAGTAATTGAGATGTTCCATACAATCTCAAGATAAATTTTATAACTTATTTGATTGAAAAAAAAATTATAATTTATGTGTACACGTCTAACATAAGTAAATGAATCTCCTTTTAACTTTCATCACTTATTATTATTACATAGGAATACCTTTATGGTATCCATGATAGAACATATAATACATTCATAGTTTCACAAATCACAACAACATCTTACTTCTCCATAACCAAGCAAACATACTTTTATATATTTTCTACATCTTCACATATATAAAGACATAAAAAATAATAATATCATATCATTTAATATAATTATATAATCCTCAAAGTTTACTATTAAATTTTAAAAATTTAGTGATATTATACACATCATAATATAAAATACAATTTTGACACCTAATAGTAGTAAATTTAAGTGAAAGGGTAAAATATGATTAAGAAATTATTTAAAATTATTTTAATAAATAGAAAACTTAATTCACAAATATATATTAGTAAATGTTGCTTAAGAATTGTTTCATATCTTGAAAGATATTTTCTTATAATTTCTTTTGAAAAGTTATCTCGTGCTTCCTCATTTGAACTGCAACCAATTATTGTTCAAGTTGTAGATTATGTTGCTCAAGTTGTGGTTCATGGCTTAAGTTGCGAACTTTTGATTTTATTGTGCCCAAAGTACGTGGGTATCCTCCAAAGTCCCATATTGAGTAGTTTGAAGAAGAGGAGTGGTAGACTCTAATATAAATAAGGGGTGATAATTTGAGTCTACTCACCACAACAACACTAGTCTTTGAGTGTATTGGGGACTTGGGTAGTTGTGTGTCAAGAGAGAGTTTGCAATTTTTTCGTGCAAAAATTGTATGAGAGAGTTTGTAATTTTGTCCTTGTAAATATTGTAAGTTGTGAAATGAAGATTTGTTGAGTGTGTTAGTGGATGTAGGCAAGAAGTGTCGAACCACGTTAATTTTTGTGTTTGTTTTTCTATCTTTGTTTCTCTCGTGTGTGTGCTTTTGCAGGTGAATATTTTTTTTTTCCCTCTGGTATCCAACATATTTTTGCTTGAATGAAACTAATTTCACTTAAGCAAAAAAGTAATGTCAATTGAATGAAAATGAGATCGAGATAATTCTTTATTTTCTAGGAACATTTTTCTTGAGCAAAAATACTCATATCTAAGAAAGAATGAACCCAATACCACCTTCCCAAATATGAAAGCTTCATCGCCCAAATGAAAATCTCTCATTTAAGTGAAAATTATGTAGATTAAAAATTCTAGAAAATGAAGGGCACATCATACATTTCTAAGCAATTATACCATGTTATTTTCCAAAAATAGATTATTTTTGTAATGTACTTAATCAAATATAAATTCATTCACAACTTTGTACGGTATAAAACATAATATCCACATAAGTTAATTTTTGTGTTTGTTTTTCTATCTTTGTTTCTCTCGTGTGTGTGCTTCCACACCTCTGATATCCAACACATTTTTGCTTGAGTGAAACAAATTTCACTTAAGCAAAAAAATAACGTCAATTGAATGAAAATGAGATCGAGATAATTCTTTATTTTCTAGGAACATTTTGCTTGAGAAAAATACTCATATCTAAGAAAGAATGAACTCGATACCACCTTCCCAAATATGAAAGCCTCGTCGCCCAAACGAAAATCTCTCATTTAAGTGAAAATTATGTAGATAAAAAATTCTAGAAAATGAAGGGTACATCATACATTTCTAAGCAATTATACCATGTTATTTGCCAAAAATAGATTATTTTTCTAATGTACTTGATCAAATATAAATTCATTCACAACTTTGTACGGTATAAAACACAATATCCACATACTTTCAATTCAATCAAGAGTTAAAATCTCAATTCAAACCATCAACTCAACTTAGAGTTCACAATTCCTGCAAAATAATAGGTAGGTAATTATACCACATCTAAATAATCTACCCTATGGTCCTATTAATTTGAAAAAGAACTAACTTTCATTATTTGGAAATAGGTCAACGAAGCAAAAGTTCTAAGGACTTTTACACAAGATGCCTAAACTTGCTCACAGAAAAACCCAATGATCAATCAGAGATACAATTAGGAATGCAAACTAGCATAATTCATCTTTTCTCAACAAAATTACATGTATAAATATTAGGTCATACATGAAATAGAGATAAAAGGAGGGAAACAAATAAACTTATTCTATTTTGATTGGGTATAATTGTTCTACTCTTGACTAGTTTCAAAATGGAGAACTTCGATCTTCAAAAAGATAAACAAGGGGTTCAAGATTTTAAAGGGAGAGTAGAAGTTTTATAATTTTAGAGAGATGGTAAATTTTATAAAATGAAGATTGTATAGTTCATCTTTTCTATTTATAACATTTTTAAATTAACTAAAAATATTAATTCTTCATCAAATTAAACTACACTTAAAACTTCCTTACAATACATATTACACTATTTCATTTTATAAATAATGATAGACTAAATGGTCTTTTTTATCCTTTAACATATATTATTTTTGTTAGTTAATCATTGAATATTATTAAATAAATAAATAACTCATTAAAGTAATTGTATCAACCAATCCTTACATGTTATTATTAAAAAACAATTTATTCTTCATCTATATAAATTAAATTATATTTTATCATAACATAGAGAGACTAAATTGTAATTTAATAATAATAAGTATGAACTTACTTGAAAAATAGTTGAGTGATTGAATATACTTTCAAGGACTTCTATATAGTTTAAATGACCAAATTGGTCATTCTACTACAATGACAATAATAACTTCCTCTAGAACACCATAGGTGAACATTTAGGAGACTATGAATGTGTGGTTGCATTGTGTATATAGTTTTTAATGGTTGCATTTGGAGAAAAGTTTTAGAAAGAAAAAACTTAGGAGATGATGTTCTTCGCAGAATATGAGGTTTGAAAGAGTACAACGACGACGACACAATAAATAGAAGAATTTTTAAGGTAACAAGATGAAAATGAGAAGTCACAAAGTGATAATATATAAAGGAATTTTTACATTAGTTGTATTAATAATCGATGTAAAAATCTGTAAATTATTATAAAAATATCACTGTGTTTATTTTTAAATCGATTTTCATATAATCGACGTAGATAACACGATGTAAAAATGTGATTTCACACTAGTGGTTTTAAAAATATATATGATAACTTTGTTCTTTATTATTAGTTGATTATGCCTTCAAGTGTTTGATAACACTTGGATATGTCTATAAGTCTCACATCGCTTAAGTCGAAACTAATGATAGTTTATACATATTTTCCTCTCTTAACCTATTGATATGTCTTTTAAGGATAAAATTTTGACAAAATTGAACTTGAGCTTCAAAGAGAATATTACATCAAATGTAGTTATTAAACCTAATGATGTTATCCAAGTGGACTTGAAGTTGAATTATTTGCATAATTTTTGGTGATATAAGTCCTTAGGCCATGATTTAGAGACTTGTTTTGAAATGCCCATAACTCTCATAATTCTTAAGAGTTGAAGTCAAATTTAATTTATATTGATTATTTTCTCTTATCTTACTAAGATGCTTATTAAGGATAAAATTATATCGAAATCAAAACCAAGCTTCAAAGCAAATAATATCTTGAGGGTGATTGACCCTAACAATCACTAGTGCAGAATGAACTTTTTACGTCAGACATTTTGGAATTTTTACGTCTCATATAAGACCAACGTTAATACAAGAGACGTAAATTTATGTTGGACCCTTTGACCAACGTAAATTCACGTCAGATATCAAGACCCGACATTAATCTATGTTGCATATATGACGAAACAGACGTAAAATGCTTCGAAAATTTAAAAAATTGGACAAAATTTACGTCGAAAGTGTGTATGTTCGACGTAAATTTACGTCAGACATGCACATGTCCGACATAAATTTCGTCATTTTTTATTATTATTGGGTTTATTTTGTCTTACAACCAAAACTTGCAAACATATATTATAGTCAGACAGTCCAAAGGTTCAAGTTTATTTGAAAACTTGAAATGTTAAAGTACATAATACAATACAAATTAGAAATGTTGAACGAAAAACCTTATTATTTTGTAATATCATGTCCTGATAGTGGAGATGGATGAATCTTGAAATACATGAAACTTTAATTTGACTCCAAATGCAATACACACAAAGGTAAATGAACTTAACAAATGTTGAAAGCAATTACCTTTGATTATACCCGCATAAACTTTTGTGTATTACATTTGCTTAGGAGCATATTTTGTAAAAATTGTTAGGACAAAAATCCTTTGGGATTTGCCCCCTCTTCTTCGCCTTTTTCTCTTCGTTTTCATATGTTGTGTGTCTAAATCCGACATCCGAGTCAAAAGTTATATTGCTTCGAACATTTTCCATTTTCTTTTCATCATAAAACTCTAATACACAAAACAACAACAACAACCTAAACCTCCAATATACAAATTACAACAATAACAACAACAAAAAACTAGGATTCGAACGCATACAACACTAACTACAACAGTTCAATATCAATAACAATTCAGTGGAAACATTTAATTTCAACATAAAAGAGGAGACGAGACACATAGAACACTAACATCAAATATACAAAAAATGTTGTAAAAATCGAATTCAATTAGAGAGAAATATCAACCACCACAAATGGAACACAATGAAAGTATTTCCATCACTCACTGTGGTCGAAATGTACCTTGAGAGGAGCTGGTCATCGTTGTTCTCATTGTCATTTTAAAAAAATCTTGTTGCGCAAGATGAGGGAGTGGTGCAGGAATAGAATAAAACACGACTTTTACGTCAGACCAATAGGGGCCCGACGTAAAAGTTCTCTTTTACGTCAAACCTTTATGGGTCTGACGTAAAAATTGGTCCAACTTTTAACGCTGGACCCATAAAGGGGTGACTTAAATGAGGTCTTTTACGTCAGACTAATACCCCTATTGGTTTGACGTAAAAGACTTTTTTTACGTCACCCTTTTATGGGTCCGATGTAAAAGTCCCGCCCAATATTTACAAAATTACCACTGCATTTTTTTTAAGTTGGTTACTTTTGGATTCGACGAGAATTAGGTGACGTAAAAGGACCTTTCTACACTAGTGAATGCTATCTTAAAGGAATTGAGGTCAAAATATTGACATTATTGGTAAGGACATAGAGCCCCAATCCTGGACTAGGGTGCTTGCAGTGACGGATCTTGACCATTGATCTTGGGGGGGCCAAATAATATATTATTAGTAAATAATAAATAAATATAAAAGAAAGAAAGAATATGAAAGGGTGAAAGATAAAATTGTAGATATATACTTAAATATATTAAATGATCATTAAGTTTGAGGGAAACAAAATTATAAATCACATGAGAGTTACAAAAATGAGGAGGGGCTGAGAGGATAAAATTGTAAATATACAAGTAAATATATTAAATGTTTATTATGTTTGGGGGGGGGGCAAAATCATAAATTACATGGGAGTTACAAAACTTTGGGGGGGTCACGGCCCCCCTCAGCTCCCAAGAAGATCCGCCACTGGGTGCTTGCTCTGTACACCTAAAAGTCTCACATTAATTAGAAGTTGAAACAAATGATTGTGAGGACCTAGTTTAAGGGATTAAAAGTATAAGTGGAAGGGTAAAGTTTTTAGTTTTACCGATTAAGTTAAAAAGAGTTGTAGATAGAAAATCTTAACCATTCATACTTCGCTTTCACAAAACTATCATCTCTTTACAATTCCCTTTCTTTACCTTCTCTCTAACTCTCACTCCCTCCTCATTTTTTTTTCTAAATTCAAGCATGCCTTAATGCTCCTAGCGTAGAGGAAACATTTCTAACTGATCAAAAGTTTTAATAAAGTAAGTTTCTCTTTGACTATATTTAAATCATTTGCACGTAAATTTGAAGAGCTTGCATGTAGGTTCCAAAGTGCATGCATGTTGGTTTTGTCAGGGTTAAAGATAAATCTTGAATAGTTTAAAAATATTATGGTAGGTTCAATTTGTTAACTAGGGTTTTTTGTGAACATGATCTGACTTCTTATGAATTTATGAACTTTTTTTAATCGAAAGTTGTGAAATTTAGGTAAGAGAAACAAGTCATTTTTCAATTTCCATAGTACCCTAGGTTAGAAGATATGAACTATGAAGGTGACTTGGTCACATTATTTGAATTTCAGGACCAGTTTGATTTTTTTATTGTATGTGAGTTAATTGTATATTGATTTTAATTGAGTTTGAATGTGAATTAATAGTTTGTTTCTTGGAGATTGAAAATGATAGTCTTTTATATAAATGTAATGTACTTAAATTGAATTTGAAGAATTGATATACAATATAGAGGTTAGCATTTTGATTCAATTTGAGTTAGAGCTTTGAAAACAGAATATTGGAAATATTATGCAGTCTAGAATTGTCATTTTTTGCTTAATAAATTTAAGACAGTATGACAAATGTTTAAATTTTGCTCAACACTTTTAAATTCACCTAGCGGATTTGGGGTAGTGTTAAAGGTTTAATTATGTGAAAATTTTGCTCAGCAAAATCTTGACAAAAACTGCATAGTTTGATGAACTATTTAAATTTAACATATCAAACTGAAATTCACTTATCATTTTCAAATTCGTTTAGTTGTTTTCAAAAAATCATA